TGTCAGTACTATCCAGTTAAATCTAAGCATATACATATGGATTTCATTAATTTTAGTGGAGTTTTCCTCAGTCAAGTGTTTCTCAGAGTTTCAATTACACACAAAGCAGCAAAGAATTATGTGAATTTGCTCCTAAATTTATTCAAGTGCTTCTTGCATATGAAAATAACATTATTATTATGGAAAGAGACAAATGATGAATCCCAGCCAATGTGGTTCCGTCCACTAAAGCAGGTACCTAAGGATATTTTCAAGATCAAGTGAAACCCGAGGTTAAAAAAAAAACTTAAACCTGCAATATATGAAACTTATAAAAAATGATACACTTCATCCAGACTGTAGAATCAACAAGAATTTAATAAAGTTAATCAAATAATTGTAGCTCTATTGCACATAAATTTGAATTGTTTTCCCATTAAAGAGTGCTTGTCTGTAAATTATTGCAGGGAAAGCCATTTTCAAGTTAATGTTTTAACCATTAGAAAATACAAAGGGCATTTTCATTAATTAGACACAGCTCCCTTTCCTCCTAGTTTATCATCACCTTTGCTAGGTGGAATCAGGTTAGTACTCATTTATTGACATGTGTGATGCGATGACACTATTTGTTTAGAGTTCATCATATACCTGGTGGAATAAACTCATTAAGTATAAATGAATAGTTATGTAGTCATCATCTCAAATGAGTCCATGCTGTTCTCCAGAGTCATTATAATGAATGTGAACACAGCTGGAATAAACGTCTCTGTGAAGGTTACAGGCTTTATTCTGAAATATTTAAGGCAGCAGCTTTCTTCCTATTATTTGAAGCCCCTTGTGCAGGAAAAAGGACTTGGCCTCCCTGTGAGGAAGATTGTTAACCGCATTTACTTGCAATTTTATCAAAGCTTTCTATGTTCCGTAGCGACATCTTAGGAAGAGTGAGAACATGGAAAACCCAGGATTGCCCTGGTTGTTTTGATTTGGTTCGTGTTCTGTATTCATGAAAGAGTCTGGCCTGCCTTGTGTGGCTCAGTGGATTGAGCATCCTCCCATGGACCAAGACTTCCTGGGTTCGATTCCCGGTCAGAGCACATGCCCAGGTTGCAGGCTTGACCCCCTGTAGCTGATCAATGATTCTCTCTCATGATTGGTGTTTCTATCTCTATCCCTCTATCTAAAAATCAATAAAAACATATTTAAAATAGAAGAAGAAAAAGGATTTGAAGAAAAGTGACCTTTGTGGGTTCTGAGGACTGCTAAGTCACTGACATTGCTATGATGCAAGACCCCTCTACCTTCAACCTGCTCCCAGGCCTCCCATTGTCCCCCCGAAGGGGGAATGATGTGCTCCTGAAATAGTGAATTTCACCTGTTTGTTTTTGAGATGTACAGTTCAGATTGGAATTAGGTGCTGCAATTCATTTTAGTGTTTAAGAGTGGAAGTGGGTATGACCTGAATATGTATGTACCTAAGGGTGGAGGAATTCCGTAGAATAGCATTCCAAAACTCTGCTTTAGAATTATCAATAATAATAAAAGGGTAATATGCTAATTAGTCTGGACATCATTCCAGACATCCTTCCTGACAAAGCTGGGGCCGGAGAGAGGCCGGCCTGGGTCCCGGGTGCCTATGGGCAGCCTGAGGGAAGCAGCTCAGGTCCTGGGTAGCTGCCGGCAGCCAGAGGAGGGAACCCAGGTCCTGGGTGCCGAAGGGGAGCCGATGCCAGAGGGATGCCAGTGCTGACAGCATGGAGAAGGAAGGCCTACTCTTGCACAAATTTTTATGCATCAGGCTTCTAGTGCAAATATAAACAATATTCCAGAATCTTGCTTTTCAGCAACAGTCACCAACATATTATGTCATGATATGCATGCTGTATACCACATAAAGTTTAATATCAGGGGGTAGAATCAGTAGTAAAAGCACACAAAGTGTTTTCATTTTTCTAGGATTTGATAGCAGATCAGCCCATTCCACAGCTAATGCCATTGAGAAAATATCCAGGGAGAGATAAGAGTGAAAGATCTTATTTGGTATAACTTACATAATGCTGCATGCATTATATCTCCCCTGGGCACAGAGTGATGAAATGATATGGCTTGAAGAAATTCCTGGTGTGAAAGATCACTTTTCCTTCCCCTCCCCCTTGCCCTACCTTTTAAACCATCTGACAACTGTGCCATGGCATTTTTTAGAATACAGTGATAAGTATATTTTGTATGATGGGAATATAGTCAAGGTGTGAAGCTTCTTCTTTATAAACAAAAATAAATTTTCTTGATTTTTGGAGAGAGAGGAAGAGAGAGGGAGAAACATTGACATGAGATAGAAACATGCATCACCTGGTGTGCTCTGACGGGGAAGTGAGCCTTGGACCATTTAGTGTGCCAGGAGATGCTCAACCATTGAACCCGCACCGGCCAGGGCAAGGTGTGAAGCTTCTTTTAGGTAATGCTTTTCTTGATGGTATAGAAAAAAAAAAGAAAAAAGATATAACAAGTAAATGGTTTATGCTTTTCGAACCCTTATTAATAAATATTATTTATTCAAGTGCTAATATTTCATTGGGTATAAAATTGAATATTGAACTGACAAGAAATTAAATGTAAATAATTATGTCTATGAATGAGAAAAGATCAAGGGTAAGGAATATATGTATTCTGTAACCAATTTTTTAAAAAACAAAAAGATCGCTATGCAGTGTTACACCTATTCACTCCCACAGGTGCCTCTATTCTCTGTATCCCCCCCGCCCTCTTCTCTCTCTCACTCTCTCCTTTCTGGTTTCCTCCTTCCTCCCATGCCCCATCACCTAGTTCCTGTTGTCAAATACAGCTGCAGATTAATGCCCCTGTCCTCTCCTGAGGCTTTCCATAATGCTCTTATCCTCCCTGCAGGAGTGAAAACTGCACTGATTATCCCGCTAAATATTCATGTAGTTGATAACACATGGTCTTAGTGAGCTGAGTGTTGAGTCTATTGTCTAAAAAAAAAAAAAAAAAAAAAAAAAAAAAAAAAAAAAAAACAAGCCAAAAAAACAAGAGCTTTTCACACTAACAATCAGGCAGCAATGCACTCAGGAGAGAACAATGTATTGCTGCTCACTCTCACTCACTCACTCACTCACTCACTCACTCATTCATTCATTCAGTACATGTATATTTTGGTGGCACTGTGTGCTTAGCAAATGCTAGGCACTGAGGATATAAAGAGGAATTGTTTCTGTAGGAGATTACACTGAGTTTTACATTTCATTTTTCTTTGAGAAATTAGGAGACACTTAAGAACAAACAAGTTGAAAGTAGAATGAATGAAGAACCTGAATGAAGTCAGGTGAGTATGGTTTTCAAAAAGACATGGCCGTTGGCCTCTCTCCACCACATTCACTCAGAGGGTGGAGGGAGAAGGACGGCAGGGGGGAAAGCCCTCCGGCTCCAGAGTCACTGCCCTTACAAGATGGCAAGGTTCCCGAGGGGAGGGATTTTTTTATTTATTTTGTAAACAAATGGATGCAGCCAATGTGCTTGAAGCTGTAGTAGATGTTCAGTAAGTGTGCAAAAAATATCTGGGAAATGAGCGACACTTGGGTTGTGATGCCACCTCTCTTCCTTGGTGTCTGACCTGTAAAATACAGCTCGTAGAAGGAACCACCGAGTAGAATTTGAGCATTAAACGAGGATGCAAAGCTGAGAAGAATGTCTGGCAGAGTCAAGCTCAGTAACTGTCAGCTATCTGGCTCCTCAGTGACTGTGCATCCCGCACTGCCTCCTGCCAGGCACCGAGCCGAGCACCGAGCACATGAGAATGAAGCAGTCCTTGCTGTTTGGGGGCCGCCAGGGGCACAGGCATTAAACAGACACACAGACTGATGCATAATGTCAAACTGCGGTGAGACCCGAGAAGGAAAGAACACGGGAGGTAACCGAGAGGAGGGCCTAACTTGGGTAGAAGTCAGGATAGATGTCATTGACAACTAATGTTTAAGAGACAAAATTAATCCCAAATAGGTGAGAGCAGGGCTTCATGGACCAAAGGCATAGGGATGCTTGGGTGGAAGCCACAAAGCAGTGAAGAGTACCGTTGTTTTTGTTTTGTTGTTCTTATTAGCTGCCATACTTCATCATAATTACTTCTCTCCCACCTCAGACGTTACCATCTCTAAAATCTGGATGTTTCTTACAATTAATGGCAATAATAATTACAGTGTTCTCATCTCTCTTAGTGGAACATATAATTATGTAACCTATTTTAATTGAGGGCAACTTGTATTTGATGAAATACAGTGACACGTTGTAACATATGAAACCAAACATTGTAAAACAGACACAAAGGTAAAAATTAATTTTTATGTTGAGAAAGTTAATATTTAAACATGTTAATTTAAGGTTGATGAGTGACATAAAACTTTTTATATTTGGAGAGAACAATGCGGGTGAATGTTTCATCAGTTTTACATTTTTAGGTTTATTTGCAAGTAACAACAATCTCTAAATTCAGTTTATTTAATAATAATTCCACTTATTTAATAATAAACTTGGTATTCTATCTCATTTGAGAAGGATATTTTACAAGACTGTGTACATCTGAACTGTAGTTCAAAGCGGGCTACACCTAATCACAGTTATTCAATACCAACCAACAGTGAAGCCAACGACTTTGCTGAAAGCCAGCTCATACATTTTCATCTTCCAATTGCCAATCAGTTGTTATCACACACTAAACAGAAGATGGTGAATTTTTACACTGGTTCAAACCAACGTAGTTGTACTTAAACTTTTGTTTTTAACAGTAGAAATTTATTTCCAAGAGTTTTAAATATGCAGATATGTAAATTTTTATAGAAGACATACATTATTGTGATCAACAAAAATCCAATTCATGGGTATATTTCCAGACATCCCTTTTTTGACATGCTGACATCATGACATAAGTCTCTTTTAAAAAGCAGTCATATTTCTCCTTTGTTGGCTGTCTTCTTGTCAGATTTGGTGAGATTGTCATTGTTTTCCTCTTGTAACGAGGCTAAGAGCTTTTATCAGATGTTAAGAGGATTAGCTGGGCCAAGTTCTTGTTCACTTGGGCTGCGTCTGTGATGCTCCGCCTAGTGTATGTGTGTGTGTGTGTGTGTGTGTGTGTGCGCGCACACGTGTGTGCATGCGCATTCGTATCTGTGCGCACTAATGCTTGGGAATCACCTAAAACCGCTGGTAAAGGCTATATTGATTAAAACCACATAATCAGTACATGCATTTTCTTAAGTAAAGGCTGCCTATATTTCAATACCCAGGGTATGAACACAGTACTGCTGGCTGCTTGAACATTGGTTTCCCTGTGGCATATCTGCACTGTCACCTGAAAAGCGGGCCAGGGGAGGGGGCAGCAGTCTCTTTGAACATTAAATATTAGCCAAGTCAGATCCTTTTCTTGTTTTTAGATAAAAATTAAATATTAATGAGTTCTCAAATTTCTTCCCACATGCTAGGGGATTGATGGCCTGGTGTATTGCTTGTGGCCAAGTCACTGTCCTTTGGAAACCCTGGATTATAAGATAAATTCCTCAGCTTTGAATTCATGGCCTTCCTCTAAGCACTACACTCCCACCTGTCCACATTTTAAAAAATATAAATATTATTGATTTTTTACAAGAGGAATAGAGAGTTAGAAACATCAATGAGAGAGAAACATCAATCAGCTGCCTCCTGAACACTCCCCACTGGGGATGTGCCCACAACCAAGGTAGATGCCCTTGACTGGAATCTAACCTGGGACCCTTGAATCCGCAGGCCAACGCTCTATCCACTGAGCCAAACCAGTCAGGGACCGTGTGTCCCATTTATTCTTCATTTCTCTCCTCCACAAACCTTCAGAATTCTTTAATTCATCTTCGTGTTCCTGCAGAATGTAATGCCATGTGGTGTTATGCTTCTCCGGAGTTAATGTGCAAGTGGGTCCCAGGGCTCTGGTTAGAGTGTGGGCTCTGAATCAGGTGTGGGAGGGGCCTGCCATTCTGAACCTCTCAGCTCCCAGGTTCTGCTGCTGTTGCTGGTGGTCCATGCATGAATGTGAGTAAAAAGGAAATAGAGAAAACACTGTCAGAATGCATTTTGCTAATTCCTTAATTTGACAAAGCCACACTTCGGGCCTTAGGTTTTTCATGGCTAATCTGCAGTGCCCATTCCCTCATTCTTTCTTTCATTCAATGAATATTTATTGAGTGCCTAATATGTATCATGTCAGCTCCTGACAAATATGGGGTTTCAGGTATCAAGGAGCTGAGTCTAGTAGATTGGTGGATAAATCAAATGGCTTACCATAAACGGATGCATATATCAATATATTTATATGCATGCATTTCAGTAGCATGAATACTTATATACATGTGTGGATTTTCATATCATGCACACACCTTCACATATTGCTCCCTCCTTCATACCCCACCTCCCCACCACCACACAAACATTTTTCCTACCAGAGGCCTTTGGTTCATTGCACCCTCAGCTTATAATACCCTATCCTTATTGCTTTGCTTGCCTAATCCTACCTTACTTTTCTAAACTTTTTCTAAACTTAGTTTTTCCCTTTCCCTCCATACTGAACAAATGCTTTTTCTTTTTGACTTTTATACCTGTTATTTTGTGCTCTATTCATCTGGCACATAGAAAATGCTAAACAGACTACTTTCTTTCAATAGAAATTTTTGATTGTTAATTTTTTCAAGGGAAGAATCATGTCCCATATTTTTGAAATATAGTTCATTATATATAGAAGAGGCTCAGTCAATAATTATTGGCAATGACCACACTATATTTAGTTTTTAAATGTTATATAATGTCATGTTATGCCATGTCTCATGCCAACTCCTGGATATTCTGTGATTTCATTTTTATTATTCATTGGTTTTTAATTAACTGATTATAGTATTTCGAGTTATAGTATTTCTAAAATTAAATTGAACTTGTAGAAACAGAGTGAAATGGTTGCCAGGGGCTGGACTTGGGGACTGGAGAGAGATTGGTAAAAGGGTACAAACTTTCAGTTATAAGATGAATAAGGTCTGATGATCTATTGTGTAGCATGGTGACTGTGGTTGATATCATTGTATTCTATAATTGAAATTTTCTAAGAAAGTAGAATTTAAGTGTTCTTACAAAAAAAATGTGAGATGATTGATTAGGTGTTAGTTGCTGGACTGTGGAATCCTCTCATGATATATACATATATAAAATAATCACATTATACTAGTACACTTTAAATATATTACAATTTTAGTTATCAATGATACTTTAATAAAACTGAAAAAAGAACATAAAGCTATAGATTAAAAATGACAAATATTCATGAAAGTGTAATAAATGAGACTTTAAATATGACATTGTTTTTATGATTATCCATTCATTGTTTCTTGAAGATAAAGATCGTATTTTATACTCTGAATAATTCAGAGTGCTCATCTTACTCTGCTATATAGCAATCATTCAATCTAATCATTGAAAAATAAATATTAGAGACAAGCTTTCACACTTTGTTTAATACATCAAAATAAGAACTTTCAGGTAATATATAAGATTTTATAAGATCAATAAATTAAAATAATTGAAATTCAACTGTTCTTTCTCTTTCTTTATTTTTAATCATATATGAAAACTAGAAACCTGGTGCATGAAATTTGTGCATGCAGGGGGGGGTCCCCCTCAGCCCAGCCTGCACCCTCTCCAATCCAGGACCCCTTGGGGGATGTCTGACTACTGGGTATCCCTCTCAAGATCCTGGACCATTGGCTCCTAATTGCTCACCTGCCTGGTTGCCCCTAATCCCCCCCCCCCCCCCCCCCCCCCCCCCGCCTTGCTGGCCTGATTTCCCCTCACTGACTCTGTGTGCCAGCCTGATTGCTCCTAAATGTCACCTCCCTGCCCCCGCCAGCCTGGTAGTCCCACACAGCCTGCTGTTCAGTCATTTGGTCATACCTCACTACCCCACCTGCCAGCCTGGTTGCTCCAAGCAGCCTGATGTTCAGTCCTTTAGTCATCCCTCGCTAACATCCCTGCCAGCCTGGTCATAGGCAGCCATCTTGTTAGGATGTGAGGATCGATTTGCATATCACTACTTTATTATATAGGATTATACTATCATTATGGTAGTACATCTAAGGAGTGATACAAACTCTTAATCTATGCCTCTTTAATGTGTCACTTATGAATCTTCTGTATAGTTGGATGGGGATGGAAATGCTTGTCATAGAGATAGAAAAGTTTTAATTTTTACTCTTGATTATGGCAATTAACTAACACAGATGGCCACCAAAAAGGTGACTTACCAAAGGGTGTATAGCAAACCATGCTGTTAAGTCCTCTTCCAGGAAAACGTGCATGCCGTGCATTGTATCTGCCTGGCTACATGAAAGAGTGATATTTCTGTCTGTCTTTGCAATCATATGAGCGAATTGTGTGAGATCTCAGCCCAGTCTGGTTTGGTGCTCACAGAATGAAAGAGCTCTTCTTTGTATTTCTTTGCTTTGTTGGTGGAGATTTCCTAGATGTTGCAGGATATTTTCCTTTTAATTTTTCCTCAACACTCTCACTTATGACTCTCACCTTTGCTTTCCTTCCTTCCTCCACCTCAACAGGAACTTGCTCCAGCCTTACTTCGCTGGAGTGTCTAGGAGATTGCTCAACACGTCTGCCACCAGAACCATGATTCCCAGCATTCTTGGTGCTCCCCGCACTCTCGGCTTCAACTTCCGGTCCAGGTGCTGCAGAAACCAAAAGGACTAGGGACTCCAGCTGCCTTCGCTTTGGCGAGCTGAAAGGACCGGGGACTCCAGTGGCAGGCAAACGGCATGGCTCAAAGGACTGGAAGGCTCTGGTGGGCTGAGGGGACTGTGTGCTGACATCTTATGGCTATGGGCACTGCCATCTTTGTGATGCAGTGACGGATTATTTGCATATTACCTTTTTATTAGATAGGATGAGTCACCTGGAAAGTTTTCTAGTCTCATGTAAGATCAAGCATGCCTCTTTGGTTAAGAGGGTTGGTCGGGCCATGGCTGGCCTCTGATGACCTTAAATGGGACAAGTAGGGTAACTAGAATCTCTAAGGAAGACTCTCATCCAGCAGGTTAACCCAGGCTTCTTCTCATGGCAGCAATGGCAGGGGGCTGAGTGAAAGAGCAGAAACACAAAGGGCCTCATGGCAGACATAGGTTCTGAATTGACAAACCAGAATCTCTGCCACATACTGCTCAGGCCAAGTTCAAGGGGTGAGGGAATAGACTTCACCATTTGAAGGGATGAACTATAAAATCACCTTGGAAAGGCATGGCTATGGAGAGGGGTAAAGGATCAGAGAAACTTTTATTATCAATCCACTGTAGCTTCAAAAAACACATTATGTACATATAAATGTGTCTATTTATGTATGTGATAGATATACTAGTATTTCTTGCTTTAAGTATTATCAGTTGTTGAGCACATGCTGCCAGACCATATTTTAGGTACTTTTCTTGAATAATTCATTTAAATCTTCTCCAAACTTTAGGATATAGGTACTTAATTCATGTTATCAAGTGAAGCTACAGAGATGTTAGGTAGCTTGCTAAAGTCACCCAGCCATTAGGACTTGGAGTGAGGATTCCTTCAAACAGGTTAATGCAAGAACTGGAGTTCTTACCGTTCTAGTACCCTGCTTTCTCTGGACCTAATAACATAACACTAGAAGCCCAGTGCACAAATTCATGCACAAGTGAGGTCCAGCTGATCAGGGCCAGGCCAGCTGTTGGGGAGGGGCCATAAGTGGTTGGCCAGTTGGCCCTGCCCCTGATCAGTGTTGGGGAGTAATTGGGGGCAGGGCAGGCTGGAAGAGGGGCCATGGGCAGTTGTGAGGGGGCCTGATCGGGGATTGGGCTGGTTGACCACCACAGTGCGCATCATAGCAACTGGTTGTTCAGGTCATTTTGTCGTTCCAGTTACTTGGCTTTTATATATATAGCTACTCTACACATTATCCTGCACCTTCCTTTATTCACTTAGAAATAGATCTTTGATATTATTATATATTTGTCCATGTGGGCTTTCCTCACTATTTTCAATGAGTATACATATTTGGTTTTATGAATGTATATAAATTATTTGACTAATCCATTATTGATGGGCTTTCAGATTGTTTCAAATATTTTTTTATTACACATAATATGTCATTAAATATTCCTGTCCACTGATTTATTAAATGAGACCAGAGGGTTAACTTTACTGCTGAAGACACAACTACCATGAATATTTTACATCTTGAGCAATGTAGTATTGATATTTAGAAGCAAAAATTACAGCAAATACAAGAAAAAGAATTAACAGAAATATTATTTAGAAGCATTAAAAATGTTAGACAATGCTCTCAGTTATTTTCAGATAAAATGCTCAAGTAATAACTAGAGCATAAATAATCTGAATAACTAAACTTGTTTAAATTGTTATTCATCAAACTTTATACTACACAAATGGCAAATGCATTTTATTTCAAGCACTTTCTTGATTAAACATTGGACAACATTCTGAATTGCTTTCTATTAAAACTGGAAATTATGTCTGTCATTAGCCTGCTTTCTATCTATGAGATAGTTTTCTGTGAGGGTGGAGGAGCCTCAGTGAGGGGAGTATAGAGATTGAGAGAAAAAAAGAGAGAGGAAAATTCATAGACATGGACCAGTGGGTGGGGGTTGGGGAATGGCAGGAAGTGGAAGAGGTTAAAGGAGAGTTAAATGGTGATGGACTGATGGATGCAGACTTGGCTTGTGGTGGTGTACAGATGGTGTACTGTAGAATTGTGCACCTGAAACCTGTATAATTTTGTTAACCAGTATCACCCCTATCTGTCAACAGTAATAAAAGAAAAATATGCAAAAATGACCATACCTCCATGACACCCACTAGGCAATCAGGAGTGAGTATGCAAATTAACTCAACAAAAACGGTGGGTTAATTTGCATATGCAGGCGCCCAGCAGCCTGGGTCCCAGGAACATCCTCAGGACCCAGGCCACTCAGAGCCTGTAGGCTTGCTTGTAGGCCATGAGCAGCCAGGGTCCCAGAACGACCCTGGCCACTCCTGGCTGATGGGCCTTGGCACTGAGTGTCCGGGGATGGGGCAGTAGAGGCTTGAGCAGGGCCTGAGCAGAGCCGGGGGTGCTCTGACAAAGCCAGAGCAAAGGCTTGAGCGGAGTGGGGGGCCCTGCCCAAGCTGCAGCGGAGGCTTGAGCAGGCCTGGAGACAGGGGGTGGAGAAGTGGGCAGGGTGCCAGCCTCAGCTTGCCAGCAGTCCTACCTCCGTGCATGAGCTGCAGAGGAAACACCTTTTCTGACTGTTTATTGGCGTAGCTCCTGGTATGCCACTGGTAATGTTCTTGCTAACTTGGGTAACAAGAATCCAAAAAGATGATCTAGGGTTTTTCCACCTCACTCCTAGAGGAAAAACAAAGGTCTGCTGCTGGGAGGCTAAGACATTTCAAGTCTTGCCCTAGCCTGTTTGGCTCAGTGGATAATGCTCAGCCTGCAGACAGCAGGGTCTGGGTTCAATTCTGATCAAGAGCATGTACCTAGGTTGTGGGCTTCTCCCTGGCAGGGGCCCAGGTCAGGGCTCATGCAGGAGGCAAACAATCAAAATGTCCCTCTCACATTGATGTTTCTCTCTGTCTTTTCCTCTCTCTTCCACACTCTCTAAAAATCAATGGAAACATAACCTCAGGTGAGGATAAGAAAGAAAGAAAGAAAGAAAGAAAGAAAGAAAGAAAGAAGAAAGAAAGAAAGAAAGAAAGAAAGAAAGAAAGAAAGAAAGAAAGAAAGAAAGGAAGAAAGAAAGAAAGGAAAGAAAAAAGAAAGAAAGATAGGTCATATCCTATGAAAGACATATCTTGAAAATGCCTAAAGAAAGTTGTCATTTTTCATGGTAAAGGGACTGGAGTCTGTTTTGATGAAAATACCTTGGCAGTTGTAGTGGCTGTCAGTGGCTGCAGCAGTGGAGTGATGGTGCTGGTGTCTTCCCCTGATCAGCCTGGTCACCTCCTGCAGAGAAAGGCCAGACTGTGGCTTAGGCCCTCTCCTTATGGGGAACGGGCCTAAGCCATCAGTAAGACATCCCCTGAGGGCTCCCAGTCTGTGAGAGGGAGCAGGCCGGATCCCTTCACCGGGCCAGCGGCCAACTTCCCATGCCCCATTACCCCCCCTGGCTGGCAGGCCCCAATTGGCCCACCCCCCACCCTTGCAGTGATGGCACAGTGGCAAGGGAAGGAGGAAGGTGGGAGGTGGAGAACAGCACGGTGGTGGAGCACCGGTGATAGTAGTGTCAGCATTTGGCATCTGTTCCTTCTACACCCAGCCTGGCAACAGTCACTTCCTCTACAGCCTGGCCCTGATCGGCCAGCCCCAATGGGCTCTGATTGTCCAGGCCTAGGGACCTATGCATGAATTTCATGCACTGGGCCTCTAGTAAATTTAATAAAAAGGAAAACCCCCAGGAAATTACTGAAACTATAAACACACTGAAAGAAACCTAAATCATTTGGAAAACATTATCTTAAAAAAATATTTTAGGTAAAAAAGGAACTCAAAACTGTCTACAATAAAGAATATCTAGGCAAGTAATCATAAGATACAACATTGGAGGAAAATTTACAGTAATTAAAGAGGAAAAATTACAAATTACCATTCAACTCAAGATTTTATAAAAAGAAGAAAAATATACCAATGTAGAGCAGGTAGAAAACTTAATAAAACTGAAAGCAGAAATCAATTAATTAATAAATAAAGAACTCTAACATTGAAAAACACATGTAAGCCGAAACCAGTTTGACTCAGTGGTAGAGCATCGGTCTGCGGACTGAAAGGTCCCAGGTTCGATTCCGGTCAAGGGCATGTACATTGGTTGCGGGCACATTCCCGGTGGGGGGTGTGTAAGAGGCAGCTGGTTGATGTTTCTCTCTCATCGACGTTTCTAGCTCTCTATCTCTCTCCCTTCCTCTCTGTAAAAAATCAATAAAATATATTTAAAAAAAATAAAAGAAAAACACATGTAAGATTGGCTGTCTGAATAAAATGATTCTTTAAAGAACTGTAAAGAAGATAAACAGAAAGACAGTATGTGAGATAAGATACTAGTGAATCCAATGAAATTAAAAGAGAAAAAACAAAAATAGGAAAAAGAAAGCATTAGAAATTAGAAATAACTGCAGATATGAAAATTAAATGAGCCCTGGTGGAGTGGCTCAGTTGGTTGGAACATCGTCCTGTACAGCAAAAAGCTTCCGGTTCAAGGCACAAAACCTAGGTTGAGGTCTTGATTCTCAGGCGGGGCTTATATGGGAGGCAACCAACCAATCTCTCTCTCTCTCTCTCTCTCTCTCTCTCTCTCTCTCTCTCTCTCTTTCTCTCTTTCTCTTTCTCTCTCTTTCTCTCCTTCCCCCTTCCTCTTTCTTTAAAATTAATTTTTAAAATGTCCTCAGGTGAGGATTAAAATTTTAAAAACATTAAATGAATTACAAAGATACATTTTGATTGCATTTATGATAATACATTAGAAAACTTGGATAAATATGTTATCTATCAATAGAAAAATATAATAACAAAACGTAATAATACCATTAAAGAGATTACCAGAGTAATCCAGAAAACTCTCTTTTAAAATGTGCTAGGCCCAACTACCTCTATAGTCCTCCACTCCACCAGGTTATAAAATAATCATGGGGATGTGAAGTACAGTAAAAGAAATATA